GAGCAGGGAGCCCGATGTGGGACTCGATCCTGGGACTCCAGGATCATGACCTGAGCCGAAGGCAGTCACTTAACCAACTGAGCCACCCAGGCACCCTAACCTTAACTTTTAAAACAGTAACAAAACCATTCTGAAAATACTGGGTGCCACATAAATGGTCTGGAACCGAGATGCCTGACCATCTTACCCTTCCGGAACAAAATCCAGGCCAGAAATTAAGCAAACTCTTCAGAGCAGCAAAGACTATAGCTATTAACGTGTAAGGCCTGCTGCTTCGTCCACATGGACCGAACTTGTTCATTTGGACTTCTGCAGGAAAGGCTAACGGAGTTTGGTTACCAGGTTTCCAGGCTCAGACTCGATGGAAGCAGCAGAGCGGAGGGGTGGAGGCAGGCTGCGTAACTACCACCACCTTTGATCGTGCACATGCACTGTCCAGGTGCTTCATGGAGAGTTATGGGTTGCACTCGGCCCTCCAAAATTCCTACATTGAAGCCTTAACCCCCAATATCTTGGAATGGGACCATATTTGGAGCTAAGGCCTCTAATGAGATGATTACATTAAAATGAGGCTGTTTGGGCGAGCCCCAGTCCAATCTGACTACCTTCCTTTTAGGAGGATATGTGGACACTCAAACACCAGAGATGTGTGTGCCCCAATAAAGACCGTCTCAGACATAGTAAGATGGAGGCCATTTGCAAGCCAAGGATGGAGCCCACAGGAGAAGCCAACCCTCCCAACACCTTGACCTTGGACCTCTAGCCTTCAGAACTGTGAGGAAATCACTGTCTGTTTAAGCCACCCAGTCAGTGATATTTTGTTATGACCTCCCGAGCTGACCCACACAGGGGCCCTGACCCCTTCACACTCACAATAACCTAAGGAGCTTCCCAATATTACTAGCCCGATTTTTCAGAGGAGGAAACAGGCATAGTGATGATGTCCTGTTCACCCACAGAGCCAGGAAGTGGTAGAGGTGAGATTTGAACCCGAGCAACCCAACTGCAGAGGCTTTTCTTACATTCCTTGGCAAGGCACAACGATGCTGCCCAGGGAAAGGAAAAGCAAGCAACGCTAGGCAGAAAGTCCAAACATCCTGAGAACATCTGTACCACAATGTGGCAATTTGTACTCATTTATATTCATGGTGACTGCCAGGAACATCCAGCAAAGTATCATATGCTCCATGGAACGGTCTTCAAACGTAAGGAGGTTTGCAATATATTTTAGAAATATTTGAACCAAAAAGGTTAAAAACGTAACAGTTATTACCATATGACCAACGATTCCTCTCCTAGATATATAATCAAAAGAATTAACAACAAGTACAGCATTATTCACACTAGCCTAAAGGTCACGCAACCCAAATGTCAATTCCCCGATGGGCGGGTAAACAAGATGTGGTATGCCCATACAATGGACTATTATTCGGCCCCACAAAGCAATAAAGTACTGATGTGAGCTACTGTGGGGATGAACCTTGAAAACATTACACCAAGGTAAGGAAGCCAGACGCCAAAGTTCACGTGTCCAGAAAAGGTAAATCCATACAGACAGATTGGTGGTAGTTACTATGGGTAGGGGGAGGAGGCAGGAATGGGGGGTGACTGCTTAGTGGATATAAGGTTTCCATTTGGGGTGATGAAAATACTTTGGAACTAGACAAGAGTGCTGATTGTACAACATTGTGAATGTACTAAAATACACTGAATTGAATAGTTTAACGTGGCTAATTTTCTGTTACAGTAAGTTCACCTCCATTTAAAAAAGAAAAAGATATAGTGCATTAATGGGTAAATGGTTAGGTTTTTGGAAACCTCAACTCTCCAGAAAGTCCATTTACCCCGGCCAGGGCACTGTGGGAAAGATCTGGCCATAAAGAAAGATGGAAACTGCTTTTTCCTCTGGGGAAGGAAAGTGTCCTACTTCTAAAGGACAACAGAGAACCACCTACTTCCCTGGAAGATGCATATGTCCTCCATCAACACTTTGACCACAGGCTCTGGTGCCTTCCTTCACATCAACTGTTTGCAGGGGTGAAGGAGGCAGTGCTTGAGCTCTGGGTGTCTAGCCCCCTGAACTACTTTGTCTAAAATATCAGACCTGTTTCTACCTTTTGGCAGCTATATGATTTTTTTTTTTTAAGATTTATTTATTTGACAGAGCGAGACACAGCAAGAGAGGGAACACAAGCAGGGGGAGTGAGAGAGGGAGAAGCAGGCTTCCCGCCGAGCAGGGAGCCTGATGTGGGGCTCGATCCCAGGACCCTGGGATCACGACCCGAGCTGAAGGCAGGCGCTTAACGACTGAGCCACCCAGGCGCCCCTATATGATTATTTTTTAAAGGATTTTTTTAAAGCTTATTTTTCAGTATTTTCTACACCCAACGTGGGGCTCGAATTCACGACCCTGAGATCAAGAATTGCGTGCTCTTCTGACTGAGCCAGCCAGCTGCCCCGATTATTATTTTTATTATGGAAATATCAAAACTGTTCATTTTTGTGTTGAAATATGTTCTCACTTTTTTCCTACTTTGGCAGAAATCAAGACACTTAATGCCTTCCTTCTTAAAACAGCGAGGCAGGCACAACGCAATCCTCTTTCTCAGTTACAAATAAAATGTAAAAGCCACACAGTATCAAGCTGAGAATTAAATTTCCTTAATATTAGGATATTAACCCATTATTAACACACTTTTTAAAAAAATGATATGCCCTGGGGCGCCTGGCTGGCTCAGTCAGTAGAACATGCACCTCCTGATCTCAGGGCTGTGAGTTCAAGCCCCACATTGGGCGCGGAGCTTACTTAAAAACAAAACAAAAACAACAAAAAAATTTTTTTAAATGATACACCCCCAGCCCATGTGTTGAAAATTTTGCACACCTTGTCATAACATGTTTGTATGGTTGTTCTAAAATTTGGGGAGATGAGCCTTTCTTCTAAAAAGTACCGATCTACTCATAAAGAGTATCATAACCTTTCCACAAAAGCTTTACTCGGAAAGTGATTATTTTGGTCAAAACCTCCTAGGCATGCTACCCCTTCCTGGTTGGGCAACCCCTCTGGTCATACAGCGTGGCTGAAGAGATCACTCCTGCTGGAAGTGTGGAGGACATGGTTTTTGTACGGGGGCAGGAAAGCCAAGGGCATGCAAAGCTTGTTAGCAGAGCTGAAGCTGGAACATCCACAATGGTCTTGTGCCTGGTTTTACTTTTAAGTAATTTATACTGCACGTTGCCCACTGAAAGAGCTGTCAAGTGTTTCAGGACAACAATGTGGTTGGAGGCTATGGCAGTTACCAGCATCACACACGTGCCCCCCCCAGTCCCTACCCCGCCGTGATTCTAGAGGAGAAGGAAGGAAGCTGAACCGCCGACATCCAGCACATAGGCAGCCTGCAGAACTGGCCGTCAGGCCTGGCGGACCCTCTAATGCATCAGGATACCTTTCCCCACTGAGCCCAGTCACTGCCACACAGTCCGAGCTGGCCTGTAAGCTGAGACCCCACAGTGTCTCTGGCTCAGAAGCGTCATTCCAACACATCTACAGATCGCTCCGTTGTTGAGTTACCGTCCCAACTTCAAGAGGGAGGAACCACGCAATACCGTGAAATAGAACACTTTCACAAAGAGCCTTGAAAGGCACATCATTTGAGGTGAAAGACAAAGATCCAACTTGGTTTAGCTGTAAGACGTTATTCACGCCAAATGACTGACCGCCATGGCTCTGGTCGTTGCACACTTCTCCTGAAACAATACTGATCTTCATGACCGACTTCCCCCAACAAGATGTTGAAAATGCGTTCCTCATCTTTCAATCTAGTCAACTACCATGAAGATCATGTGGTCCCTTATTATACATTGTGGAGAAATTATAAGTTCCGTAGAAATATTACTAAAAATAGACTTTCATCACTTTATGCAAGAAAGCCTGATTTTTTCCCATTTTGATGGAAAACTTCTGGAAATGTACAGCACATGCCTTTGTGTTCTCAAATCCAGGTTAGTGTGCCTAATTTATTCTTTTAAGGATCTGTGGTCTTATTCAGTCTCTCAGCCCATAACAATGACGCCCACACTGACTGAGGTAGACAGGTCTTCGCATCTCCACCAACCCACCAACCCCAGATCCTGAGCTCCCGATTGTT